CCCGCGCTCCTCTGCGCCCTGCCGCCGCGGCCCGGCCCGGCCCGAGCATGGAGACCGCGGAGAAGGAGTGCGGCGCCCTGGGCGGGCTCTTCCAGGCCATCGTCAACGACATGAAGGTAACCCGGCGCGGCGGAGCCCAGCGCGGCGCGGGTGCGTGTCCCCTCCAGGGACGCGTGGCGGCGGGGAGCCGTGCCCTGCTGTAACCGTGCGCCGTGGTGTCTGTGTCCTTGTCTGAGCGTGTCCTGCCTGCGTCTGCCGTGCGCCCGGGGCTACGGGGTGCCCGTCTCGGGGCCTGGGGGGTGAGTGCCGATGTGTCGGGGTGTCGGTGCGGTGAACCGGGTCGCCCGGTGGGGTATCGACACGAGCCTGCGCACACGCGGGCTCCCTGCGCCCAGACCCCCGAACCATGAATGGGGCTTGGCCCCTGGGCAGACCTTGCGGTCTTCTAACGGGTCCGGGGTCTCGCCGGCCTCCGCCCCCTTCCACCACTGCGCCCCCTCCCACCCGGATGGCCCCGGAGCCCAGACAATGCTGTCACTGCCGAAGCTGGAAAAAATAAAGCGGGGAACCATTAACTCCTTCCCCGCCAGCCTCAGCCTCTCTGCGAGGGTCCCTGCGATGGCGCCCCCAGCCCCGCCCCCCTAACAATCCCCAGGAAGCTCCAGGACTCTTAGGTCTCAGCGCTGAACGTCCCTGCAAGCCAAGGCTAGGCCTTTACCCTCACCCTGGGAGGAGGGGGAAGGGGAGGTGAATAGAGCAAGCCCGAGGGAGTGCTATCCCTACCCCACCTGCCTGCCAGGAGGGCCTCAGCTCCACCTTCAACGCCCAAGGTCAGGCTGCAGCCCCCCACCTCACCAGGTGGGGAAACTGAGGCCTGGGAATGGCTCAAGGTCATTAAGGAGACTCTGGGACCCTACCCCTGACCTCAGCCCTCCTTGTTCATCTTGGGAGGGGGAGTTTGGTTAGAGGAATCTTTTCCCCGGAAGAGGCCAGGGTTTTGGCAAGGCTGTCGCAGGCTGACTGGCCAGAGAGGGCCCAGCCCAGTGACAGGGTGGGGGGCCAGGAGCCAGGTACTGCTCCTTGGTCTAGGGTGAAGAGACAGAATTGCAGGGCCAGGGAAGAGCCGAGGAAAGAATTGGGCTCCCACAGGAACTCCTGAGGCCCCCCACCTCTCAGCCCAGCTCCCACTCACCAGGCCAACCTACAATCCCACCAGGCCCTGGGGAGAGCCACCATACACCCCTGGGCAGCCCGTCCACAGTGCCCGGGCAGGCAGGCAAGGGAGCCCAGCGCTGCCACAGGAACAGCCATAGGGACAGCTTCCAGGTCACTGCCTCCGGGAAGAGGCCTGAGCCTGAGCCACCGAGCCTGGACCTGCAGGGGAGCAGCGTGGAGGGGCATGTGCCACTCCATCCCTTGCACTTCCATCCCCAGGCCCCTCCCGCTGGCCCCTGCAGCCCCTGTGGGCATCACAGCTGACACCAGGAGCCCTTTCTAGTATTGGGCAGCCCAGACCACCCTCTGCTGGCCACTCCCAGGGCTGGCTGAGGGTGGGACCTTCCCCGCACCGCCTCCCAGTGGCAAGCCTCACAGCAGGCACTGCAGAGGGCAGTGGCTAAGAGGAGCAGGAGTCTGCCTCCTGCCCCGGCCCTGGCCAGGCCAGCATGCAAGGAACTTTGGGCCTAGACTGGCAGGAGGTTCCGGCTGGATGTTGCAGGATTCGCTGACATGCACGGGCAAAGTGGGACAGGTTCGCCTGGGGCCATGCCAAGCACAGCTCTGTCCCTACCTGTGACTCAAGCGTGTATTCAGGGGCCTGGCCAGCTACAGAGAAGGGCACTGGGCCACCTGGATCCCGAATGCCTGCCTTTGGGGGCAGCTCCTGGCTGGTTCTCTCAGGAGTCCGAGCCACAGAAGCAGCAAGGCTTCCACAGAGGGAGGTGGCCACCAGCTGGTTGCCTCGTGAGGCAGCTCCCAGCGAGTGCTCGGAGCTGACAGAGGGAGCAGGAGGCTCCCCGAGCAGCACCTGGAGGGCACCCTCGGGTACTTCCCTACCTTCTGTGCTACTCGCCACCCAGGGCAGATGCCCACTGGGTGTCAGACTGTGCAGTGAAGCCCAGCGAGGGCAGGTCTTACCCAGGGTGACAGGGCTGCATGCAGCACCTTTAGCAGACTGAATGGGGCCTCCACCCAGCACGGTCCTCCCGAAAATGGGGTCATAATCTTTGCCTACCCCTCCAGAGTGTCACCTTGTGTCACCCAGACACAAACCCTAGCCCGGGAGGGAGGGGGGTGTCCATGCAGAGAGGCAGGGCTTATGTGAGCTGTCTGTCGGCATTAACTGAGCACTTACTACGTGCTGGTGGCCAGGTGCACACTGACCTGGTGAGGTAGGCGTAGCTGCTCTCCTGACTTATAAGTGAGGAAACTGAGGCTCAAAGAAGGAGCCCTGGCCCGGGCACACCCAGAAACCCCTCTCTAGGACTAGCGCCTGCGTTGTTTGCTGCCAGGAGGCCCGAGCCCAGGCAGCCTCCTCGTCTCACTCCGCTACTGAGACACTTCCAGGGGCATGCACCTACCTGACCCTCCCGAGCAGCCTCTCCGTGGGGCAGAGCGGGTGCTTCCCTGTCCCTGCGGCCCCTCCCCTCTCCTTGCACCCACAGACAGGCATGTAGTGGCCACCCCTGCGTGTGCTGAGCAGTCAGACATGGGATCGGGACCTGGCCTTGCCGCCCTGTGACAGTGGGCCAGTTAACCTCGACGAGCCTCAGCTTCTCATTTGTAAAATGGGGCAGTAACGGGGTCACTCTCCGGGGTGCTACCCCTGGCGGCGCCCGGCACGGTGACAGCACCTGAGCCGCAGTACCCGTTTCTGGGCCAGCGATAGCCAACCCGTTAGGACCAGGCAGTGGAGCGTGGGCCCAGGTGACGGCCGAGGACATCGGCTGCTTATGCGCTTGTCCGTGTCCTTCACGAATTACCGCCGGGCACGGGGGTGGGATCCCAGGTCCCTTGAGACTGGAGTATCTGGGACCCCCTCCTAAGTGGAACCAGCCTGTGTCTCCCAGGCCCCACCTTGTCTTGTCCCACTGTGAGGGCCCTTGCTCTGAGACTGCCCCAGGGTTGCTGAGGGGACTGAGGTTTCCTGGGGGCCAGGATAGCACCCCTGCATCCTCTCTGCTCCCTGGAGGGAGGTGGTAGCAAGCTTACCAGGCAGGGGGTGGGCCGGGGGGTGAATGGATGACCCCTTTCAGAAGACCTTGGGTACCAAGGCACAGATCAGCACCTCGGGACAGCCAGGGGTGCCCTCCCAGGCCCCTCACCCCATGTGCGCCCGCACTGGGCAGCCCGCCCACAGCCTCTGCTCCGGCCCCGGTCTCCGAGCGCTTCTCAAATATTTGCTTTCCCTGGGCACTGTTTGGCAGGCCTGGGGAGGGGGTCTCCAAGGCTGCCCTGTCTCCTCACCCTGCAGGCTCTCCTGGCCTACAGAGGCTGGCTGGAAGCACTCCTGGGGTCCCAGCTGGGCAGAGCCTCCTCTGAGATCCTGGGGCCAGGTGCCTGCCTTCCCCATCCTCTGGCCAAAGCGCAGCCACAATGTCGCATCCTGCATGGACGGCAGGGTCAGGGGCTCCTCAGGGCTGAGCTAGGGCTTGGCCGGCCAGGGCACCCTCCACCAAGCGAGGCCTGCACAGGGCCTTTGGCCAGGGCTGAGGCTTCTTCCGGGCCGCGACCGTGGTGTGAGGAGAGCATTAGCCAGAAAAGCCCCTTAATCAGACCGGACAACTCGGTCTCCAGAGCCCGACCTCCCTCCTGGGAAACCCCCTCCCGACTCTGAGCCTTGGGCCAGGCTGGGATAAAGGCCACACTGTTTCCCAAGAGGGGAGGGGCACGAGGGGTGGAGAAAGGTGCCTCTGTTGGCCGCACAAGGCTCCATTCAGCCGGGGGCCTGGTTGTCCTGGGCAGACTGGCCGGCCAGCAGCAGCCATGGCCTCCCCAGGCCTGGAAGCCCAGCCTGGGAAGGCCAGCCTCCAGCAGCAGCTTCCAGAACACAGGGTGGGGACACCCATGGGCCTGCTTCAGCCCTGGCATCTCCACGCTTACCTGCACCCAGGCTGGGTGGGCAGGTCGGTGCCACCATCCTAGGAGTGTGTCAGGGGAACACAACACCCCTGTGGGGCTCTACTCAGATCCTCTGCAAGGCCCTGGGAACACCGGGGGACACAGGAACTGGCCTTTACTGTGGACTGGGTGGGCCCCCGCTGCAGATCGCAGGATGGAGTTTCTGGCTGTCTGGGTGGAAGGTACCCGTTTCCAAGGCCAGGCCTTCCTGCTGCCCGCCGGCTCTGCCTTGGTCCTCTGTCCTCTTGGGGGATCCGGGAGCCTCCCCCTCCTTGGGGGCAGTGTCCCAGGCTCAGAACCTGCCCAGAGTCTGCAGGGAGGCCCCTAGGGAACCGCAGTCCTGCAGCCCTGGTGTCGTCTCCCCTCTCCCCACAGAGCTCCTACCCCATCTGGGAGGACTTCAACTCCAAGGCCACAAAGCTGCACTCCCAGCTAAGGTGAGGCTGCTCAGGGCACCCAGCCGGGGAGGGTGCAGAGTGGACCTCCCCTGCTAGTGACTCATAGCCCATCCCTGTGCCCCCAGGACCACCGTGCTGGCTGCTGTGGCCTTCCTGGACGCCTTCCAGAAAGTGGCCGACATGGCCACCAACACCCGAGGTGGGGAGGGTTGTGGCTGGAGCTTGGGGGTGTCGTCCCAGGGTGGGCTTGAAGGCTGGAAAGGCTGAGAGGGGTGTGGACTGGGTTAAGGTGCCAGGCGGTCAGGACTTCGGGTTCTGCTCCCTAATGCAATGGCTGGTTGTGGAGAGAGTGAGTCCCTCCTCACCGGACATGGAGCAGAGCAGATGAGTGGGGACGGGTGTTAGGGATTCTGGCTGTGGGCAGCTGGCTTGGCCCGGCAGCCACAGTTGTTCCTCCAGTACTGGCTTCTCCCCCACCCTGTGTACCCTTCTGAGACCATACAGGGGACAGGTGGCCTCTGGTTGTGCTTGCACCTCCTCTGCTTTCGGTCTGAGTAACAGGAACCCGAGGGTGGTGAAAACGCAGGGCCATAGGCGTGTGCTGGCACGCTCACCTGGGCACACCTGGAGGGGGCTCAGGTTGGGCTGGGGGAGCGGTGCCAGGCTCCTCCGCAGACTGTCCTCTCCAGCTGCGGAGAAGGGCGGCCCGGCAGCGGAGGAGCTGGGTAAATATTGAGGAACCAGCAGGCCCCCCGCGGAACGGAGGATTGCGGAAGGATGGATGGGTGCGGGGCGCGTGCTGCAGGCCCGCGCGCCCCCTCGTGGCCGAGGCCGGCACTGCAGAGGCCCTGGTGGGACCAGCCCATGCCACGCGCTTGCCTCGCCAGGGGCCACGCGGGACATCGGCTCGGCGCTCACGCGCATGTGCATGCGCCACCGCAGCATCGAGACCAAGCTGCGGCAGTTCACCAAGTGAGTGGGCACGGAGGGGGACGGAGGAAGGGGGAACGTTCTGGGAGACCTCCCTGGTGTCCCTGACCCTGGCGCCGCTCCCGCCCACAGCGCGCTGCTGGAGAGTCTCATAAACCCGCTGCAGGAGCGCATCGAGGACTGGAAGAAGTCGGCCAACCAGCTGGACAAGGACCATGCGAAAGGTGGGTGCAGGGCTGCCCAGGGCTTCTCACCCACTCGGCAGGGACCCCGTGACAGCACTCCCTTCTTCCTCCCTGCACAGAGTACAAACGAGCGCGGCATGAGATCAAGAAGAAGTCGTCAGATACGCTGAAGCTGCAGAAGAAGGCACGCAAAGGTAGAGCCCGAGGGCCCACCCAGGCACAGCCCCGCAGGGACCCACTCCTAGCCCCCAGCCCTGCAGTCGCCTCCAAGGCGCGGCCTAGCCAAAGGGCCCTGTCCCCCACACAGGACCTCCTACCTGCTGGGTGGGACCAAGGGAACAGGCCCGGCACCCCCCACCCCAGGAGGCTCTGTCATCGGCTGTCTTTCACACATTCTTTCTTTCTCTGTCTCTCCTCCTCTCCTCCTCCCACATCCTTCCTGTAGAGCTACTTGGTAAGTCAAATGTCCGTCCCTCCAGCTGCTTCTCCCGTCCTTGCCGCATTTGTCTGTCTCCCCCAGCTCAGGGCCATTGGGAAGAACCTGTCCAACCTAAGGAGGAGCGAGGAAGGCGGTCGGTCCACCGAGGGAGGGGCCCGGGGCACAGTCCCCCGGGGGCCCCGGGGCCCCTGGCCAGGGCTGAGTCCAGGGCCGAGTCCAGGGCCACTGCTGGGTCAGTCTGCCAGGCCAGGAGGGTTTGTGGATGGGGAGGGGGTGCAGGCCAGCCCCGGGCCCTTCCCTGTGTCTCCCACCTCACCGTCTCCTCTCCACCATCCTCTCGCCTCTGTCTCTCTCGCTGCTTCTCGTGTCGCTGTCACCATCCTTGTGCAAAGGCCCCTGAGCTAAGAGGGGCCGTGCTGAGCCACTCCCTTCCCGACACCTACCCCAGGGCCTGGCCTGCAGCAGGGCACCCCCACTCTGCCTCGTCCCGCTTCTGTCTCATCTCTGTACCTGTGAGGTGGGGGGCTTGGTCCCACAGGCAGCGAGGGTGCCCTGGAGGAGCTCAGCAGGTTCCTGGGCTCCAGGAGAACCTAGGGGTGCCCAGGGCTCTGCTACCCCCGGTCCTGGTGGCTTTGCCGCATCAGTCATTCCTGTGCATGTGTGTCTGTCCTCTCTGCCTGCCCTGGTGGGACTGGCCCCTCCACAAGCCCAGAGCCTTCCCCGGCCCCCTGGCCCCCATGGCAGTGCCCAGTCCCCCGGCCAGGGACGCCACCATGGGGGCCTGAGTCACGGGTGCAGTGAGCTGGGCCAGCGTCCCCAGCACAGCCTCTCCTCCGACCCCTCCAGGGAAAGGAGACCTGCAGCCCCAGCTGGACAGCGCCCTGCAGGACGTCAATGACATGTACCTGCTGCTGGAGGAGACGGAGAAGCAGGCAGTGCGCCGGGCCCTGATCGAGGAGCGCGGCCGCTTCTGCACCTTCATCACCTTCCTGCAGCCTGTGGTGGTGGGTCTCTTGGGCACTCAGACCCCAGCAGGTTAGGCCACGCCTGGGTTGACCCCTTGACTTCCAAGAAAGGCTCTTTCTCAGCAGTCCCCGGGTGCACTCAGGGCCACGTGCTCCTGGCCCAAAGACAGGTCTGGTAGCTCCTCAGGCAGATTCGCCCTGGGCGGTTGTGCCAGCCCTGGGCTGTGGCATAGGTGAGAGGAGAGCCCTGGTTGTCCAGGGTGGGCGGCAGGCGGGCACAGTCCAGCAGGCCTGACTCTCTGCATCCTCAGAACGGCGAGCTGACCATGCTGGGGGAGATCACCCACCTACAGGGCATCATCGAGGACCTGGTGGTGCTGACCGCAGAGCCCCACAAGCTGCCTCCCGCCAGCGAGCAGGTGAGGCCAGGCTGGGGCCAAGGCTGGGGCAGGGAGGACACAGGCCTGCCATTCGTGGGGACAGAAGAGGAGAGGACAGCCTTCAGGAGAGGCTGCTGAAGGCCAAGACCAGACACCTTCAGCACAGTTCTGGGGCAGCAGAAGCACCTGCCCGGGTGGGTGGTGCCCAGGGCCCAGCAGGCACCCCAGACCGAGAGCAGATGGCCTTGTCCCTGATCCTATCCCTCCCTCCAGACCTGGCTACCAACGAGGCCCAGAACCCGCATCTTCTCTGGAGCCAGACACCCCCATCCTGTCCCTTCCTGCCAGCCTGCATGGCATCACCCTCCGTAGTCATTCTCCGCATGCTGAGTGCTTACCAAGCACAGTCCACGGCCACATCACCAGAGCTCCCCGACAGGAGGAAACCGAGACTCTGCGGCTCATTAGCCATCAGAGCCCCATGGTGCCGTGGTCACTTGCCTGGCTCCCCCACCAGTGGCACTGTCTCAGGAGTCTCGGTTCTCTTGTGCCCCTGCCTGGCCCAAGTGATCTCAGGATCCATAACTCGTGTCTCATGTGAGCCTGTGTCTTGGGCTCAGTGAGGGCCGGCTCCTCCCAGGGTCTCCCTGCCTCCTGCCCCTGAGGAAGGAACATGCATTAGGAGATGGCTGGAGAGGAGGCTTCAGACTCGCCGAGTCATCTCCCAGGACTGCCTCTCATGACCCCATCACTGTCCCTCTCCAGGTGATCAAAGACCTGAAGGGCTCAGACTACAGCTGGTCCTACCAGACCCCGCCCTCGTCACCCAGCAGCTCCAGCTCCCGGAAGTCCAGCATGTGCAGGTCAGTGGCGGGTGGGGTCTCACGGGGGCAGGGGTGTCCCAAAAGGGAAGGGAAAGCTCCCAGCAAGCTGCGTCGAGAATTACTTCAGGCAGGACCCCAGAGTTCACTCGGGTTCCACGTCACCTCAGGACTTGCAGGTAGAGGGGAAACGCCCACACTGCAGGAAGAGGCGAGGCAGGAGCTGCTGCTTCTGTGAGCATTCCATGTGTGCCAGGTGCCATGCTCAAGGCCTCAAGCATTTCCTTCATTGAATCCTTGCACTGTCGTATCAAGTATGGGGTTGTCTCCATTTCACAGAAAAGGAAACTGAGGCACTGAGTCCTAATATGTAGCCACTGCGCTGTGCCAGGTCTAGCACAGTGTGGAGTGATAGTAAGGTTCTAAGGTCGGAGAAGGGTGCAGAAGCGTACAGGAACATGTACTGAGGCCAAAAAGTATCCATGGGCTGGTTCCTATGAGCCAGTGCCACAGCAGCTGCCATAGTCTCGAGTCCTGGAGATATTTAGGACTCAGGGTTCCTTGGGTGGCAAGGACAGCGAGCACAGAGTGGGTTAGTGGGAGGGGAGGCCCCTCTGAGCCAGATACCCCTCTCCCCACATCACCTCTTACTGGGCACCTCAGGTTTGGGAGACGCTGGGCACAGCTACCCTTTCAGGGAGAAACGATATCCAGGCCATGGATGCTCTTCACCCTGGTGGGTGGCCAACACAGAAGGGAGGCTTGAGTGCAGGGGAGACCCACGAGCAAGAGCAGGACCTGGGGGCTTCAGGGTCACGCTCAGGAGGAAGGCGGCCTCCATCGCCAGGAGCAATGCCAGAGAGGAATGACTATGCAGACGGTGTGGGCCACAGAGGGCTGGGCACCCTCGGGGGTGGAGGATCCAGGACCCACCTGGAAGATACCTCCATGCCTGCACAGACCATCACCCTGTGCTAGATACTCAGTTCCGATTCCATGGCAAACACTGGACTGAGAAGGCAGTTCAGAAGCGATCAGACTTTAGTCTGAGTCTAAGTGTTTGACACCTGGGGACCGTTTCCCACCACTAACCTAAAGACTACCGTTCTTAATGGCAGAGGAGGAGGCAGACTGCCTTGCCCTGAGCATGCCCTGACAGTGGTTTGCATCAACACTGAGTACTCCAGGGGCTAGGTATCCCCTGCTTGTGTCCTGCCCTGCCATACCATCCCAGAACCTAGCTCCTCTGTAGCATCTGGTCTCAGGACCTTGTAGAGTGACATTATCTTTTCCTTCCTCTGCCCTTCATCTCTCTCCCCTACCCTCGTCTGTCACCCTCCCCTACCACACACACCCCGTGTCTCCCTGGCTGCTATGCCCTCCTCCTTCACTCCCCTAGTGCCCCCAGCAGCAGTAGCAGTGCCAAGGGTGGCGGAGCCCCATGGCCTGGGGGTGCCCAAACATACTCACCCAGTTCCACCTGTCGCTACCGCAGCCTGGCGCAGCCAGCCACCGCCACCGCCCGCCTCTCCAGCATCTCCTCCCACGACTCTGGCTTCGTCTCCCAGGATGCCACCTACTCCAAGCCCCCCTCACCCATGCCTTCAGACATCACCAGCCAGGTGAGGGGACATCAGGAGGACCACCCAGGGTGGGGTACATCAGCCTCATGCCAGCTCAGGGTTTGTGGGGCCATGAATAGCTGCTGAGACTAGCCTGCAGATCCCCAGGGCCTTTATTGTTTTCAATATGATATTTATATTATCATTTTCTATCTCTTTGCTTTTAAACTTACTTTTTCCTTTTGTTTTAGATGAGTCTTATAAGCAGCATATCCCTAGATTTTGTTTTTCAGTCCAATTTAACAATCTCTTTTTTCAAGAGATTTTTGCTACAATTGCCAGAGAGACAGAAAGCCATAAAACACCCCCCAGGGGGATGGTCATGCAACAATCCCTTCTCCAATCCCCTCTCAGGATTTTGGTCATACACACATATGCTCCTGGTGTGAGTTTTAAGCCACTGGGTCCAGGACTCAAACCAGGATAGACTACATTCAAGTCCAGTGACATAACCATTACCCCATTTGCTGATCCCCCATCCCTATCTTTTTATTGGCATTTTTAGCCCATTTACATTTATTATTAGTACTGACATATTTAGACGTATTTCATACTCTTTTCTGTTTTTCTTTTGTCCTTTCACTTGCCTTTCTTTTTTCCTTTTCTTATATATCCTCTCTCCTGGATTATAAGTTATACTCTATTTCTTTTCTTTTACAGGTTTTCTTTAAATTTTACCAGGCATACTTAGGCAAAGTCACAGTTCCATCTCCTAAATCATTCAAGGACTTCGTATAGTGTAACCTCAGTCACCTACTTTCTCTCACCTTATAAGTTATTATGTTATGCTCTCCTGTTTTCTGTACAGTATCCACAAGTGATGTTTTTTCTTAGTTTCATCATTTTATACAATCAGGATTTGTTTAGATTGACCCATATGTTTACACGTTTCTTTGCTCATCTTTTTTTTCCTCCATCTTAAGTATAGAACATGTTTTAGAAGTTGTTTTAGAATCGATGGATAGTTGTTTTTGCTCATCTGTAAATGTGCTTTTTTTCCTTCTTTCTTGAAAGACAGTTTTACCAGGGACACAATTCCTGAGGGACAGTTATTTTCTCTCCACCTTTTGAAGATATTTTTCTACTATGTCCTGGCTTCCACTGGTGGGAGGAAAGTCTGCTGTCCATTGTCCTTGCTCCTTTGTGAGAGAGCTGACATCTCTAGCCACTTCTAAGCTCTTTAGTTTTGCTACAATGTGGATTTGTTATTATTTGCTTGTTTTTTTTTTTTTTTTAATTTATTTCTTTGATTTGTTCTGGGGGTTTTCAGCTATTACCTCTTTATTTTCACTTTTGTTCTTTCTACTCTCTTCTAATTAAATGTATGTCAGACCTTTTCATTCTATTTGCCTCTCTTAACTCTTTCCATCTCCTTGTTTCTCTCTATTGCCTTCAGGATAATTTCTTCAGGTCTATCTTCCAAACTGTTTTTTCTCTTTTTTGCTGTTTGACCTACTCACTGAGGGGTTTTGTTTTGTTTCATTTTGAACATTCTGTTCTGAAATCATTTTAGACTTGAAAAAAGTAGTTCCTCTTTGTCCATGGTTTTTCCTCCTGTGGTTTGTTTCAGTAACCCATGATCAACTTTGGTCAAAACGATATTAAATGGAAAGTTCCAGAAGTAAACAGCTTACAACTTTCAAACTGAATGCCATGCTGAGTAGCGTGATGAAATCACATGCCATCACACTCAGTTCTGCTCTGAGCATGAATCAGCCCTTTGTCCAGCGTACCCACACTATACATGCTGCCCACCTATTAGTCACCTAGTAGCTATCTCAGTAGTCAGATCAAAAAACAAAAAAAAACATAGTCTGTCAAGGTTCAGTATTGTCCACAATTTAGGCATCCACTGGCGGTCTCAGAATACATCCTCTCTAGATGAGGGGGGACTACGGCATCCTATACATGCAGAGAAGTAAATGTGTCATACGCATACAGCTCAATAAATCTGTTCTGACTGAACACATTCACGCAACCAGCAACAAGACCAAGAAACGGTATGATCATTGCCCCAAAAGCAGCCTCTGGTACTTCTTAATGTCACCGCTCCTCTCAAGGGAAACTTACTAGTCTTCTCAAGAAGTATTCTTCCATGAGATGGGACCAGCAGTTAGCGTAATGGCTATGTCGCTGGACTTTCACGTAGTCGACCACGGTTCGAGTCCTAGACCCGGTGGCTTAAACTCATGCCAGGCACGTGCGCATGCGTGCCCAAGATCCCGAGAGGAGAGTGGAGGAGAAGGGATTGAGGCGTGGCCATCCCCCCTGGGGGGGTGATTTCTCGCTTTTGGTCTTTCTGTCTCTCTCTGTCTGTCTGGCGAGTGCACACGCCCTATAACAAAAACCTCTCCAAAAGAAGAAGAAGAAGAAGTATTCTTCCACAAGAAAGAGAGAAAGATGGAAATAAGACCTTTTCTTTTTAAGACAAACTTTTGCTATAGGGCACTTGTGCTCACTGGAGAGACAGAGAAATTGAAAGTAAGAAATCACCCCTCAGGGTTGACACACTGCAATCCCTTCTCCTCCATCCTTCTCTCGGGGCTTTGGGCATGCACGCACATGCGCCCAGTATGAGTTTTAAGCCAGTGGGTCCAGGATTTGAACTGCAGTCAACTACATGGGAGTCCAGCGACATAACCATTACACCATCTGCTGGTCCCAAGAAAAAGATGGAGACGATCTTTCCCAGCTTTCCAGCCAGCCCAGATGACAGGTACTCTCACAGGCTTGCCTGGCATGTTCGGGTTGGCCCTGGAACCAAACCCAGGGCCTTCCCCTATGGCTTCACTATCACATAGTGGCGCCCTACCACCTGCACCACTGTGGCTGGCCTCGTCTTGCCTTGTCAGATGTGTGTATGTAGTGTATGGGTTCCACACACGGATGGAACAGTTCAGTGTATATCCTTTATGTCTGACTTTTGCTTGGCATTATGTTTATGCAATTTTCTCCACTTTGTTTTTCCTTTTATCTTTTTGTGAAGTTTTTATTTATTTATTTATTTATTTATTGCTATAGGACTTGTGTGTGAGACAGAGAGAAAGTGAGAAATCACCCTTTTGGGGGTGGCCATGTGCATTCAATCCCTTCTCCACTCTCCTCAGGATTTTGGCATATACGCACATGATGTTCAAGCCTCTGGGTCCAGAACTTGAACCACACAGTCAGCCTTGTGGGTTAAGCACCTTAACCTCCCCGCCACATGGTGGCCTGCATCGGTGTTTCATGTGGAGATCTCTCTCATTCTCATCGCCGTGCAGCGGTATGTTATGTGAATATTCGGTTTCACCGTCTTCGTTCGTTGGACGTTGAGGTTGTACCAGTTTTCTGGCTTCGTTGCTCCTGATAGTGCTTGTGTGAACATTGTGTGCTGCAGGTTGTGGGGTCTATACCAGGAGTGGAATTGACGAGTTCCAGGAGGTGCATTTGTCCAGGTGCACGTCCGTGATAGGTAGACCGAATTCCGAAGTGGCTGTACCAGTTTACACTTCCGTTAGCAGGTTACGACAGTTTATTGCAATTCCATATCTTCATCAGCTCTTGTATTTTACATCTTTTCCATTTTAGCCATCCTGGTAGGTGTATTAATAGGAGTACTCTGTTTTTAATTTACACTTCCACAGTGTTAATAAGGTCGAACATCTTTTTATCTGTTTATGGGCCTTTTTTTTTTTAGAGGTTTTTGCTATGGGGCGCGTGTGCTCGCCAGACAGACAGAGAGATAGAAAGTGAGAAATCACCCCCCGGGGGGGATGGCCACACCGCAGTCCCTTCTCCTCCATTCTCCTCTCGGCATCTTGGGCACGCATGCACACACGTCTGGCGTGAGTTTTTTAAGCCACTGGGTCCGGGACGCGAACCACAGTCGACTACATGGGAGTCCAGCGACATAGCCATTGCGCTAACTGCTGGTCCCTGTTTATAGGCCATTTTAATACCCTCTTTTGTGAAGGACCTGTTTCAATCTTTTGCCCATTTCTCTAGTAAGTCATCTGTGTTTCTCTGTTTGATTCTTAGGACTCTATATATTATGGATACAAGTACTTCATTAAATATCTCCTTTCTCTATGGGTACCTTTTTACTCCTTTTGGGTTTTTTGTTTGTTTGTTTGTTTGTTTGTTTTTTGAGAGAGAGATTTTTTTTTCTATAGGTCATGTGCACTTGCTGGAGAGACAGAGAAACAGAAAGCAAGAAATCATCCCCCAGAGGGGATGGCCACGCTACAATCCCTTCTCCTCCTCTATTCTCTTCTCGGGATTTTGGGCACGCACTCACACGCACCCAGCATGAGTTTCAAGCCACCAGGTTTGTATCTTGAACCACGGTGGTTCCATGTGGGAGTTCAGTGACGTAACCATTATGCCATCTGCTGGTCCCCCTTTTTACTCCTCTAATAGAGTCTTTAAGGACCAGAAGTTCTCAATTTTAATATAGTCCAGTATATCCATTTTTTTTAATCTGTTGGTGCTTTTTATGTCCTGCTTGAAAGATGTTCACATACTCTAAATCACAAAGATACTTTCTTCTAAAAGCCTTTTTGTCTTATCTTTTTCATCTGGAATTGATTGTGTGTATTTATATGAGGCAGGCTTTGTTCCATGTGGAAGTCTAACTGACTCAGGACAGATTATTCAAAGATCAGCAGCTATGTAGGACGGTTCGGTTCTAGGGACAACCTGAACGTGCCAGGCAAGCCTGTGAGTGTGTGAGTGTTGCCTATCTGGACTGCTAAAAAAATACACACACACACACACACACACACATACACACACATACACACTGTAATCTGGGTGACTCGTAAACAGAATGTATTTCTCATGGTTCTGGAGCTCAGGAAGTCCAGGACCAGGGTCCTGGCAGATTCGAGGTCTGGCATGTGCCTCCTTACTGGTTCGTGGACGTGCCTTCTTGCTGCGTCATGTGGTAGAAGGGGTAGACTAGCTCCCTCGGGCCTAGTTTATAAGGGCAGTAACCCCATTCGTGAGGTTTCTGGTCTCCTCATCATCTCTAAAGTTCTTATCTCTCTCTTTTTTTAAGTTTTATACTCATCAGAGAGAGAAAGTGAGAAATCACCCCCCAGGGAGGATGGTCATGCCACAGTCCCTTCTCTTCCATTCTCCTCTTGGGATTTGGGCACACACGCTCACATCCCTGGAGTGTTTTTCAAGCTGTCGTGTCACTAAGTCAGCCATATGGGATCCAGCCACCTTAACCACGACGCCACCGGCTGTCCCAAGGCCTCGCTTCCTCATACCACACACTGGGGGTTGGGATTTCAGCATATACGCTGGGGCAGGCACTCAGGCTGCAGCCCTGCCGCTTCCCCACTGCACTGCAACGTTGCCTTCCTCGGGCGTTCTGCGTGTGTGGCTGTTTGTGTCCCACCCGCTGATTCTTCTGCCCCTGTACCAGTACTGCATAGTCGCAGTCACTGTGACTTGCTGTCAACCAGTGGCAAAGTGGTTGGAGTAGCTGGATCCCACTTGGCTGCGGCAGTTTGAGTCCCAGACCTGGTGGTTTGAAGACACACCAGGTGCATGTGCATGCATGCCCAAATCCTGAAAGGAGAGGTGGAGAAAAGATTGCAGCCTGGCCATCCCCCCTCAAGGGCACTGTCTCATTTTCCCTCTCTCTCTCTGTCTTCTCTCTGGTGAGTGCACACTTGCTCCCTCGAGCAGATTTTTATTTTTAATTATTGTATCTTTATAGAAAATCTTGATACCTGATAAGGAAGGTACTCCAGCTTTGTTTTTCTCCAGTTTCATCCTGTCTTTTTAGCCCTTTGCATTTCCCTATTCAGTTTCAGTTTGTCAGTTTCCACCAAAACAAACATTTAAATTCCTGGGATTTCGAGTGAGGTTGCATCTGTCTCTCTATTTATGTAGGCTTTACCTTCACTCAATAATGTCTTGTAGTGTTTATATAAAAATCTTGCACATGGGGCCAACAGGTGGCATGGTAGTTAAGGCACTGGACTCCCATGTGCTGGCCAACCATGGTTCAAGTCCTGAACTAGGAGGCTTGCTTTCTCACTTTCCCTCTCTGTAGTGAGCACACATGTCCTATAGCAAATTACAAAAATAATAATAATAAAGATTCAATAAATAATTCTATTTTTTAATCTTGCACATCTACCACTGGATTTTTTTTTCTCAGATATTTGATGTCTTTCAAAGGTATTGTAGGTTACATTGACTTTTTATTTATTTTTTTTTTTGAGAGGTTTTTACTATAGTGTACATGTGCTTGCCAGAAACACGGAGAGAGACAGAGAGACAGAAAGCGAGAAATCACCCCCCAGGGGTGATTGCCACACCGCAATCCCTTCTCCTCCATTCTCCTCTCAGGATCCTGAGCATGCACGCACACGTGCCCGGTGTGAGTTTAAGCCCCTGGGTTCAGGCCTCGAACTATAGTCGACTACATGGGAGTTCAGCAACAGAGCCATTATGCCACCTGCTGGTCCCCTGACTTTTTATTTTTTAAAGAATTATTTCATTTTATTCATCATCATTATTTTTAAAGAATTATTTACTTTTATTTATTCATTCATTTTAATTTGACCAGAGAGAGACACGCACACAGAGAGGAAGTGAGAAAGCAAGCCACCAGTCCAGGACTCGAACCATGGTCAGCCACATGCGAGTGTCCAACACCTTACCCAGACCACCTGCGGGTCCCATCATTATTATTTTTTAAATTTGACCAGAGAGAGAGAGAGGGAAAATGAGAAAGCAAGCTGCCTGGTCTGGGACTTGAACCATGGTCAGCCATGTGGAAGTCCAGTGCCTCAACCACCATGCCACCTGCTGGCTCATTACATTGACTTTTAGGGTTTCTCTTTGTTAATTGCTGGTCTTTAGAAATACACTTGATTTTTTTTTCTGACCTTGTATCCAATAACCTTGTTAAAATTACTTATTAAACGGGGTCAGCAGATGGTGTAATGGTTATGTCGCTGGACTCCCACATAGTCGACCCCAGTTCCAGTCCCAGACCCGGTGGCTTAAAACTCAGCTGGGCGCATGTGCACATGTGCCCAAGATCCTGAGAGGAGAATGGAGGAGAAGGGATTGAGGTGATTTTTTGCCTTCTAACTTTGTCCCGCTGGCAAGCATACACTCCTATAGCAAAAATTCCTCTTAAGAAGAATTACTTATTCATTTTGCTCAATTATAAATTTCTTTGAATCTTCTGCGTGCACATGTGTCATCTGTAAATAGTGATCATCATATTTTTCTCATTCTAAGCCTTGCTGTTTTTCATTTCTTTTTCTTGTATTATTACACTGGTTAAGACTTCCAGTGCTGCACAGACGTGGTGATAGCGGGCCACCAGGCGATGTGGTTAAGCCCCTACACACTCACATGGCTGACAGCAGTTTGAGTCCCGGACCTGGCAACTTGCCTTCTCTCTCTCTCTCTCTCTCTCTCTAATGAACACGTATGCCTTGTACCAAATTTAAAAATAATAATGATGGGGAACCAGCAGTTAGCATAATGGCTATGTCACTGGACTCCCACACAGTCGACCGCAGTTCGCATCCCGAACCCGTTGGCTTAAAACTCATGCCGGGCGCGTGTGCGTGTGTGCCCAAGATCCCGAGAGGAGAATGGAGGAGAAGGGATTGCGGCGTGGCCATCCCCCCGGGGGGTGATTTCTTGCTTTCTGTCTCTATGTCTCTCTCTGTCTGTTTGGCGAGCACACACGCCCTATAGCGAAAACCTCTCAAAAAAATAATAATAAATAATAATGATGATGATAACATTTTTAAAAAATAGAAGTGGCGATAGCAGGCATCCTTATCCTCCCAACCTCAGAGGGAAGTGTCCGTACTTTTCTATATATCGCTTATCAGATTAAAGACAGTCTTTTCTGTTCCTAGTTTAAGTGGTTTTGGTTTTTTCTCCTAAATGGATATCACCCTTTCCCACTGAGTTTTCCAATTTTTTTTCCCCATTGAATTTTTTATGTTGACAGTCATGTTGCTCAAAGTCTGAATGTGCTGTTTCCTCCCAATCCTCACCCATGGGGCTTTGCTTCCTTTTTACTTTGGTGACTGACTTGTCCTGAACCGTGGGCAGTCTGGGGCTCTAAGTCAAGGACGACTTAGAGAACCGATGGCAGCTGGGGTAGGAGCACTACTGGTCCCCTCCAGCTACCCTGGCTTGTATCTCGTGGTGGGGGGAGCGCCTCCCTGGGCTCCAGCCTCTGAGCACCACAGCCAGCATCTGCCCTGGAGCCCTGCCTGTCACACGTTCATGGCCCTGCGTCTACCTTGTTTCTGTGTCATTCACTCTGGTTCCCCTGGAGCAGGGGCCTCCCAGGGTACTCTGCCCCTACTGCCCACGCTGGGAGTCTCCCATTACATGGCAGTGCTCACCTCAGTGGGCCCTCACACCATGGCCGGTCTCCCTGGACACCTCTGTGCCCTTAGCGTCAGCCCCCGTAGCCTCCCCGCTCTGTGACTGCAGTGGCACTGCCTGCCCCGGACTGTCCTCTCCTTCTCTGAGGACCTTGTCACT